AGCTGTGATAACACAGGAGCTCCACAGTAAGCACACACTTAACTGGGAAGAACCAGGGTCCACCCTTTAAATGAGGCCAAGGGCAAGGTTCAGAAGTCCTCCTTGGGACCCGAAAGAAATTACAAATGACATCCTGAGCAGGTTTGCGTGTGACTCATTATATTTTAAGAACTACCTTTAAATAAGACTCTTGTCTTCTTCTCACAGGTCCCAGTAGATGGTGTGGGGTTTTTGTTTGTTTGATTTTAAAGGCAAGTATTGAGGGGCTAGCCAGGGAGAAGACGCTGGAGTTGCTAAGGCAGTGAGACATCTGGGAATCAGGAAATGACTCAGGTGATGAGCAGTGAACTCACAGACAGGGGCCCACACTAAACACCATTTAAGTCTTCCAGGTGTTAAGAATTAGATATGCTTAAAGTTAGAAATATTATCAAAATCTGGGCTTAAAACTTCCATTACGCACTGAGCAACAAGCCTGACCATTAAAAACAACTTAGTTTTGCAACTGGAAAGATGCTCACCATCACCTACACTTTTACTGAACATTAACCCATTTATGCGGAAACGTCTAGAAATCATGGTGCCCAAGCATGGATTTAGGGAGCTGTGAGCGCATCATGGCAGGAAGAGACGCACTCCGTCTGCCCCCGTCTTCTGAGCTGCCTCACTCTGCTGACAACTGATCTTTCCTGTTCTCTACCAGAAACAGAGGAAGGCAGCTGGTTTGTTACCAAGCTCTAAAGAGCTAAAAAATAAACTCAAAGAAAACACTTTGTGAGATGAACTCCACTCAACAAAACCTAACAGTTCTGCATAAATGGAAATTTGATGATAGTTATAATTTTCACTGTTAAGCATGTTTGTAATGCTTGGAAATGTAATATTCTGTAGCTATGGAGTTTAAATAACTGCTGTTAACATGTATAAATCCAGTATGATTGCATCATAGGGATCAGGGGTTTTCCAAGTGTGGTCCTTAGATTAGCAGCATCAGCATCATCAAGGAATGTGCTAGAAAGGCAAATTCTTGGGGCCCCAGACCTCCTGAATCAGGAACTTTGCAAGTGGGACCCAGAAATCTCTATTTTGACAAGCCCTCAAGGAGAGTTTGATGCACTTTACAGTTTGACCATCACTGATCTGAAGAGAAAGAATGAAAAAATTGCCTGAAAACAGAGTTTCGGTTAAAAATTATGATTTCTATAATGAATATAGTTTGAGAAATATAGCAAGGAACTATGCTAATCATTCATTCTGTTCCTTCCAGATCAAATAATTTTAATAGGTTAACAAAAACAGCAAGGAATGAAACACAACTATTAGTGTGAAAACTATATGCATTAAATTACCTTTGGCAAAACAGTGTTTCTCTATCAGAAAGAATGTGTTGATGACAAACATTTTGTATCTAAATACTACTGTGGGACATACATATTGGGGAAAAGGTGATGTCTTTGGACTCTTTAAAGTCTTATAGAGGAAAATGGCTTTCTAAACTACAGGCTGATGCCACACAGCTAGTCACCTTTTACAGACCTCATCCTCACTGTAGCCTATCACTTTCTGAAAAACATTTTCAAAAATGGGAGATGCACCAACTGAAAAATAAAATGGTGACAATTTACATAGCTTGCCAGAATTCTAGTTACTGGTTATTCTTAATTGTAAGTACAGCCTTCTAACCATACCCATGAAATAGGTGTGAACAAATATGAAAGGATTATGATGCGCATACAGAGGGCAGCTAGGAATTTTCAATTTTCTAGGTTTAGTGAACTATGGATTAGCAGGTGGAGATATGATAATTAAATATGGAGAATAAAAAATGATTTGTTTGTTTGTTTTTAGCTGACAATTACAGATGAGATAGGAGAGCAAGGGAGGAAGAGAGAGAAGATGGAAGAAAGAACCAAACAGTCAGGACTGAGATCCGGACACGAGGAGCCACGGCACGACCTTGTGGCTGGTCCCTTCTTTCACTGATAGCAGATACCTGAAATACCCAGCACCTCACTGACAGTGCATATCACAGGATGCAGCAATGTTTTTATTTGTTTTTCCAAAATGTGCACATCTCTCCCCAAAAGCACAGATTTCCTAGGACTCAGAGTTCTATTTTTATTCTTCACAACAGAAATATATTAAATATTTTTAAATGCAAATACCGGCAAGCAAAAGTCTAGCTTATTTATATTGGAATCACTCAGGGAATCTTTAAAAATGACATACACCTTGAAGACCGACTCTAAAAAAGCTACTGTGCTTATTTAGAAGTCAGGTGTCCTATGGCAACCTCAATCAAAGGAAAGTCCCAGGCCCAAAGACTGCAAGCAAGAAAAAGGAAACTAAATAAAGATGTAGGTGCGTCCCATGCAGGAATGCTGAACCCATCCAAAACCTCTCTGTCCCCCCCATACACTGCAATGCGCTGTTAGATTATGAACCTCAGTCCTCACACTGGCCTGGTGGGGACTTTGAGATCCAGGCTTTCATCTTAGAAATGACAAAATGAACAGGAAAAAAGACAAAGGAGAAGAGGAGAGGAGATGGGAAGAGGATGGCCAGAGGCTGAGGCAGAGGCAGCGGACAGCGGAAAAGGCATAGGTGATGAAACTGTCCATTTGTCCATCTGGACAATTCCTCAACAGCCACAGATGACGGCTGAGAACAGACATGGTTATGAGCAAGCAAAGCAGCCTACCTGGCCTGGTTCTGCTGTCAGGAGAAAAGCAACGGCATGCCTTAGAGCCTCTTGCAGCGTCCCTTTGGCACAATGCAGGCATCTTGACAGCAAAAACGTCACATGTCACAGCAAGGTCCATCAGGACAAGCAGCCCTGCACACCATTAGGCCACATGGCAGTCTTCAGACCAATGATGCCACCGTGGGTGCAGAGCTGACGCAAGTCCCAGTGAACCCCTTTCTGTCCCCATACCCCTTGAATCAAAGGCCCAGGCACACTATTAGGGTAGCTTGGCTTTCTCATTTAAGACAGAATGCAAAAACTCTGAAGAGGCTCCCATAAAAATGGTTGAAATAAAATGTAAACAATTTTTCAATTATTTAGAAAGTTAGCTTATTCTCTAACAATGTGAGAAAAACAAGACACTGAAGTGTATTCAAGTTCTGCGATGGAACCTACATAATGCAAGTACCCCTCCCTTTCCAGAAGGATTTGTCTCCGAGCTCAGATGGTGAGGACTTTCTGTATGTGCTCGTCCCATGGAAACGCAATAGGTCCTCCCCAAGGCCGGCAGCCTGGGGACACTGTTCTCATCTTCCCTCTGAGGACCTTCTCCTCAAGTCCTAGACAGAAGGCACGATGAACGGGACTAACATTGCCACACTGTGGGGGTGCTTCGGCCCCTTTCCCTTCTAAGAAGTCTCTTTAAACTCAAAATTTCTAAATCAAGATTATACTTTGATTCTGAATTATATTTATCCCTTAAGTGCTCTGGGCCAATCACTTTATATTGTAATTGGTTTTCCAGTGCTTCCTCTAAATTTCCACTCAGAAGAGTTAAAAGTGCTGCCATATTTAATTCTCTTAAAGCCTCCAACATGATCTGAAGGAAGCTATGCACAAGGCTTTACGTCTGAGAACAATCTAATGTGATGTCTTGCTAGAAATGATAAACTCTGGCAGCTGGATAAAAAAATCTTGGATCGGATTTCAGATTTCAGATGTAGTTAACGTTCGAGCTCACCCAAGCACATCTAAGACAGCCGCTAACTCCACGAGCTGCCGACACCCTTAACTGGGTCTGGTTTCCACCACCATGGGGCGAGGTCCTCCTGCCGCAAAGAAGTACAGCTCACAGCTGCCTCTCGAGTCTCTGGAGGGGAAAAACATTTCTGTGGCCTTCCTTCCTTCCTCACAGATCAATCGTCATGGGTCTTGAATATGTACTCACTTACTGTGGCATCAACCTTTTCAGAGGACAATTACAGACACAGTACATACTTATTGGTCATACAGTTTGCACATAAAAAATTACACTGAAGTTTGCTGGAACCAATACAATGTAAGTACAATGAACTCTATCTATAAAACTCTTGCTTTTTGGATCATGGGGGTTGTCTCACTATATGGAAGGAGTATTTGCAAAAAGACCTACAAAATCGGCTGGGTATTTGTATAATACACACATGCACAGGCTACCTCGTGTGATACTGGCCCAGTTCTTCCAGACAGGCTCAGGACATACCAGAAATACAGACCCCAAATGTGTCTACTGCAAATGGAGAGTCTGCTGCAAGCCAAGTGGCCTCATACCTCTGATTCAGTTCACACACACAAACTCGTCTCTCTCAAGAACTGCCATTTTCTTTTCAATTCTGTTCATAAGGGCTTTAAAAGCTTTTCAGAGATGAACTCAGTGGTGCTGCCTGCGGCACAGATGACCTTAGGATTATATAGTATTATAGGGTTTAAAAAGAAAAACCAACCAACCAACGAAAGGCTGTCAGAAACCTGGTGCTTATCTCACCGAGACTAGTTGACATGCCTGGGACCCACCGTGGAAACAAAGTCAACCAATGGGGCCTCCGGGGTCATGAACAGAATGGGAAACCAGGAGAGAAAATGATGTTTAAGTCTATAGAATTGAAAATGGGGAATCTTAGTAAAAAGGCAAAACAACCTTCAGGAACTAAAAGCATTTGACTTACCCTCTATCTGCAAGAATCTCTCTCCTGGGGAATAAGTGCCAAATGTGGGCAGACGAGTCACTACACTGAAAGCTCACTATACTGAAAGCCATCTTAGGTATACTACAGAACTGCACCTTACACGGGTGATACAGACCAATCATATTTATCTATCTTAACATGAGCCCCAAGTATTCTTTTGCTATTTCCAGTGTATTCACACACACTGAAATGGGATGGTACATGACAGCCATGTTGTGCAATACACACACATCCACACACTCACATTTACTGTTGGCTCCTGGAGCCTCCCGGGTGTCGGGCAGACCTCACGACCCAAAGGCACTTACCGAGGACTCGCTGTCCCTAATGAGGAAGTCGCCCTCGCGGCCCCGCTCGTTGAGGGCGCACTCGGCCTGGTGGCGCGTCACGTTCCCGTAGTACCACTCTCTGCCCGCGAAGCGCCCGCTGCCTGCGGGTCCCGGGTAGCTGATCTGCGGGACCTGCGATGGGGGCAGGGCAGGCCCGTCGCTGAGGACCACCACGTAGTTTTTGGGGACAAGGCCGACCTGCCCCCGGGCGTTTTTGCATTTCCACCACTCCGGGTCATTCTCGGGCTTCTCGATCACCTCCATGGTCTCTCCCTTCTCGAAGTTGAGCTCCTCCTCAGTGACAGAGCTGAAGGGGTACAGCGTCTGGACCACGTGCAGGATGCGGGCGCCCTGGCCGTTGCTCAGGGACGCGCCCTTCCGCAGGCTCAGGAAGCTAGGGGACTCGGCTGCCGCCTCGTCCACCTCCTCCAGGACATAGTTGGAGGGGAACCAGCCGATCTGCCCATTGTAGCTGCCGCGCCACCAGCCATCGCTGCACTTTTCCATGACGGTGACACGTGACCCCTTCACCAGGGACAGCTCATCTTCCCTTTCGGCCACATAGGCGAACTTGACGAAGGCCGGGATGTTGAGGTCGTAGATGCGGTCGGCGCCGCCCCCGTTGGCGGGGTACTCAGCGTCCGTGCTGGGCGTTGGGGACGCGTCCCGCGCGCTGGTCTTCCTCTTGGTCTTGCCGAGGCCTGTGGAGACACAGCAAGGGCTCAGTGGGCACCGGCCACGGGGCATCATAAAGATCCTGACGCCACCTCCCTGCCCATAAAATACAAGGGAGACAAATCCACCCTGGTTACAAACTATGTCACCATCAGAAAAGTAAACTGTTGCTGGCTGTGCTGTGTAGTGGAGAAGTGACTCAAAGCTTAGTTACTAAAACTGACCTCTCTCATTTACTCTAAAAAAATGCCAGCACAGCACAAAAGATAAAATAGTGGCAAGTTAGTTTCCTTCTGAAATGATTAGAGAATTCTTGTGCCCCTCAGAGAGAAAAATAAGGTAAAAAAGCACAGACAAAATGTCTTCCCAGTCTTTATTGGGCAGGAAGTGGACTAAATGAACTCAAAAGACCTGCTTTAAGTCGGGGCAGGTCTCCGGCAAGCAGCCCCCCAGTAACCCCCTGCCCTGCTCCCAGGCCAGCCCACCTCCCCCTCTACTCCTGGGACACTCCTGCCCTCCCACGGCTGCCTGGCAGCAGAGTGGCTACAGTGGGCAGAAACCAACAGCCTTCTTTCTTCTCTTCCTGCAGTTCTTTCAAAACAGCAGACTCACTTGCCACAACAGGTTGTGATCAGTGAATCAGAAAAAAATAGCTGCTACATTAAGTCTAAGGCAGTGAAATTCAAGAAAAGGCATCTGGGAATAGGGAGGAAGCTGACCTTACAGACATCTACATTACCTGAACCCTCACAACAGTCCTGTGACAACATGGACATCCCCCAATTTCTGCAGATGGGGAAACGGAGGCTGAGAGAGATCAGGGAACGGGCCCAACACACCCGGTCAGTGACGTGGCACAGACTTGTGTTCCCAATAAAAATAACAGTCAAGAATACAGTTCCGTTAGAGGCTGGTATGCAGCATGGTTTCTATGGCACATGAATCATCATTTGTAACATGATTTCTATGGGAAATGCAGCCAGGTCTCTGAATTGGGGTGTCAAATCTCTGTCTTCACCCACCTGACTGGCCCTCCAAAACAGTGATGAAGCTTCCTCAGATTCCCAGCAATGAAAATGGCCCCTGTGACTCCAGGTGGAAGTGGGGCTGAGGTTCAAAGAATTGGGATAAGAAATGTATCACGAGTAACCGTGAAGCCATGTGACCACTGCCATGTCACAGTCTGAGCTCTCAAAGGGAGTGTCCTGAATGGAGAACAGGTGGTGTGGGTCATGTGCGTCTCACAGGACAGTAGTGCATCCAAGGCTGAGAGAGGACAGCATGCATGGGAGCCCAAGCCCAGACGGCCCCGCGGTGTCCAGGCTCCAAGCAATCTCTCTGATTTGAAGGCAAATTCATTACCATTCAAGGAAAGAGGCGGTGTGGGAATCCCATTGCCCCCACTTTTTCCGTGTGTTTATTTTTCCTACACACCTTCTGCTTTGTTTCTCCTTCTTTTTTTTTAAATTGGGGAATTAGGGGAGGGGAACAGTGTTGGGGAATTGGGGAGGGGGACCAGCCAAGTTGTTGTTCTTCAATCTTAGTTGTGGAGGGTGCCAGTCACCATCTGGCTGCCCATCGGCAGCTAGTGGCCTTGAAGTTCAAGGTGCTGTGTTACAATCTTAGTTGCGGGTGGGCATAGCTACCATCCCATGCAGGAGTCAAACCAGCAACTTTATTGTTAAGAGTGCATGCTCTTGGGCCGGCTGAGTGGCTCAGTTGGTTAAGAGCTCATTCAAGAGTTTGAGCTCTGAGCAACAGCAGTTCAATGCCCGGCCCGAGCTGAGCTGCCGCTGAGCTGCCAACAGGTGGCAGGATGGCTCAGATTTAAAAAAAAAAAAAAAAAAAGAGTGCACGTTCCATCCACTGAGCCATCTGGGCGACAGCTCAGCTCAAGGTGCCGAGTTCAGTCTTAGTTGCCGGCGGGCATAGCCCACCATCGAACAGGCAGCCTTGTTGTTAGGAGCATGTGCTCTCACCAGCTGAGTCATCCTGCCACCTGTTGGCAGTTCAGCAGCAGCTGAGCTCAGGCGCGGCGTCACTGGCCCATGTGGGAATCTAACTGGCGGCCCTGTTGCTCAGAGCTCACGCTCTTAAGCCAACTCTTAACCAACTGAGCCACTCGGCCGATCCTGTTTCTTCTTCTTTCATTAAAGTCATACCACCTACTTCTCCAGTAATTTTTTAAAAAACATACTTGAACTCCGATGTGTGTTTTTAACAAGGATCAGGTGAATTTTTTTCTCTTACAATTTTATATATTTTCCCAAAAGGAGAAGCAAATCCTCACACCCATTTTGCAAAGTCTCAGGCCAACTTTATCTACTATAAGTAAACACTAACCAAAATTTGGCAGAGCAGAAGCCCTCACTGACTAGCTTGTACTCACCCCCTCTTTGCACCCAATTTTGGAAGAACACAATTTCCAGCTCTTTCCCTGAGGCCTGCCCACTCTGGCACAATCAGGAATTCCTGTGTAGCCTGGCTGCTGCCTTCACCTATACCTTCTCCTCTCTCAGGCCCCCGGGAGCCAGGACAGTGCAGGACAGCAGGAGGTTCCAGTCCCTGCCACGTCAGACTTAGTGAGGCCCAGGGCAGTACTAGTAGTGTGTTTTTGCAAGATTTGGGACAACTTCCAATGATATGCTTTTCTTTCAGTTCTTGAGTTAATCATAAAATCCAACTGCACAGAATTTTCTTGGTGTTTGAGCCTTCAGTTGGAGCTTTGGCTGCAGTGTGCTTTGGATAAATCATATTATGAACTGAGAATATCTAGAATGTGACCATTAGAAAGCCTTTCCAATTGCTGACATGCCATAGTAGGTGACGGTAAGTAACAGTTTTTCACAAAGTGATGGCTTTCTCTACAGCTTGCTCAATAATGCATAAACTGCAACAGCTCTGCATGAAGAAAAAAGAAAAAGGACAAGGAAGGAATGGAAATCACTTTTTTTTTTAAAAAGTAAGACACTGTCTCACATGGCATGTGCTCAGAAGTGACCAAGATTTTAACTTTTATATTGCAGATGAGGCTCTGAAAACATGTCAGCTTCCTCAAATCTATAATCATAAAATTGTGGCATTTAAGATCTAGGAGAAATCTTAGAGATTGGCTTGCTCTGTTTTATGCTATTGCTGTGCCGAGTGGGCCTGGGTCCCCTGCATGTGCTGCCCAGGAGACCCAGTGGGGCAGAGGAACCCACATCCACCTCCCGTCAACATGTCTGCCCCTACTCCAGGAACTCCAGTGCTCTCTCTGTTCTCCCAGGGGTCCTGGGCTGGAGGGTTCTGGACAATGTGCTCCACAGGTGAGATGGGTGAAAGTCTTGGAGAGGCTGAGCACTTGCCCCAGGTCTCCAGGCTGCTCAGCAGCGAGGCTGATCAGCAAGGACGCAGACTCCTGAACACGGAGCTGCCTGGAATGGGCCAGGTTTGTGGCCAAGAGAGGATGTGAACAAGCTCCCTGATGGAGCCACCACAATAGCTGTCATGTTAAAGACCGGCCACAATTTGTGCAATGAGCTGTATTTGCATTCAGTAGTAATAATAAAAAATAATGTGTGTCATCAGGAATGGTATTTCTTACTCCGTGAACAGACAGCAGAATTTTAAGTGGCAAATAGCTGAGCTGGATTTAAAAGTAAACTATAGGAATACCTTGTTTTATTGCGCTTCGTAGCTGCTGTGTTTTTACAAACTGAAGGCAAGACCCTCCACCAGCAAGAAGATTACAACTTGCTTTATTGTGATGTTCGCTTTATTGGGGTGCTTTAGAACCAAACCCACAGTATCTCCGTGTTATGCCTGTACACTTTTCAGCTTTTGTGACAATTTTTTGGCATCAAGCTATCAAATCTCTGATCCTGAATTGCATTTTCATTGATAAATGAAATAAGCAGATTTTAACTTTCTTGAATAAAATTACATATATTAAAGATTGAGTTCCAATAAAAGTTTGAATGTCATACATTATTTATATAAGTGATTTTAAAATAAAAAATTTTTATTTACTCATTTTAAGATAAAGGGATATTATAACAGACGAATTTTAAAATATGTGTTATCTTCCAGCTGGAATTCTGGAGATTTAAGACAAATGTCAAATTCGATAGTTCTGAAATATAGTCAAGCCAAATTCATTTAGACAACGTACCCAAGTTTTAGGAGATCTATGGAAAAGCCATTTTATTTTTGTTACTAATCAGATCTGTACATAAACCAGTTTTGTTTTGTTTTTAAAAAAAAATTTTTTTTTAATTGGGGAATTGGGGGGATGGGAACAGTGCTGGGGAATTGGGGGAAGGGGAACAGACAAGTTGCTGTCGTTTTGTTCTTCAGTCTAGTTGTGGAGGACGTTGCTTCACTGGCCCAAGTTGGCACCATCATTGCGCTCTTCCCGGGCGAGGCAGATCAGTCGCTGGCTTCTGGATGGCTGCTCACTGCGGCTACTAGCTGCTCACGCTGGCTGCTAGCTACATACGGTAGTCCATGGCAACCCATTGTCACAGGGGCTGCAGCCTACTCTGTCGCCAGCGACTCACGGCGACTCACGGCAGCCCAGCTCCAGGTTGAGCTGTTGTTCAGCATCTTAGCTGTGGAGGGCAGTGTCACTGGCCCTCATATGTGGGATCCGAACCGGGGCCCTCTGGCGTCCCAAGCCAGTTCTTAACCATCGCACCACTCGGCCGGCCCTGGCTTTATCTACTTTTGAGTTGACTTTCTGTCACTTCAATTGAGAGCTCTAAAAAAAGTAAACAAATAAAACTACATTTTCCCAACTCTCACACCTCCTCTCCCATTCCACCTCCTTAAATACGCCAAACTTCATTCCCACTTAGGAAAGTGGTGCAGTCACCCCCCCTTATCTGCAGGGGATATGTTCCAAGACGCCCTGCAGATGCCTGAAACCCTGGATAGTACCGAACCCTATACAAATTATGTTTTTTCCTATATATACATACCTATGATAAAGTTTAATTTATACATCAGGCACAGTAAGAGGTTAGTGACAATAACTAATACTAAA